TTTATGATTATCTAAAGTGAGTGCCTATGGGTGGTCCATCAGCCATCATGTGAAATCTCGAGTCTCCGTTTTCTTATAGTTTTATACACCCAATACAGCAATAGTCTTGCATTGATAATTGGTTAAAAAAAGGACGATGTCACATCGCGGAAACTTCATTCCAAAACAATTTTCTCGTGTTGGTAGAATTTATTGCAACATTTCCCGGCATGGGCCCATTAAAAATTCCCATCTTGTTTCGTCCCATCTCACGATTGGGGGTATAAGAAATTTACCCGTTACGATACGATATTGTATTTGTTTCTTAGTTGTTTCAGAAGAAGTATATATACGTATACAATGAAATCTTCTAAATAAATTTATGTTTATTAATTTTACATAAAACGAAATTGCTCTAGCGTGTCTCGCTAAACACAATTGTTATAAAGGACATAATATTTCATGTTCATTCGCGTTTATATCTAATTAAGTAGGAGGCGAGTGCGCCCTAAAAAAAGGTGGATAGAAGATATAGAAGCTTTAGCACGAAGCGAATGGAGAAAGAAAGCCATGTATAAAGAAATTTTGAAAAAGCTGGAGGAGGCCTTTACCAGTGAAGGGGTTAAGATGGGAAATACATAATAAACCAGCTTTATTATTATTAATTATAAATATTTGAATATATATTTCTTACTAGTAGTTTCTGATTAGTATATACAACTAAACAAACTTTAGCTTTATTATATTAGGTGTTGTAAGTCTGCTGTAATGTAATCTGTGTAAATATTTGACAGTGTAAAGTAAATTCGTTGAGCGAGGAAAGCACCATCTCTGGGGTCACCAGTACTATCTACCAGATACCAATTTAATAAGCCTGCCTCTTTAATTAGCGCCCGTGCACTTGAATCCCATGGCATAAGAGTCTCTACTTCAAAGGGAACGAAATTGAAGTTGGAAAAATTCTTGTATTGCATATTTAAATATGTATTATCTATCATTAAAAACCCAATCACTTTTAAATTTATATATGTTTTGTATCTATAGAAATAACCATCAACTAATGTGCATATTTGTAATGCATAATTACATAGCAATATTAATTTAAAAATGTCTTAAAAATGTCGTATACTCAGTCGTACAATGTAAAAGCCCATCCAACTACAACAGATACTGTAACGTAACGATCGCAGTCACCTGAGCCTCTTATTTCTACCAGTTGTAAAATCAAAATTGAACAGGGCTGTTTCTATAACGATTTAATAAATTTACATCACAAAAGGTACCTTTTAACCGTAAATATAAAATGAACAAGAACAAATGAAGAGAAGTATTAGTGGCTTCAGCGTGCGACTTTTATGAGGGCCGTAGGTTGGGACTGTGCACTTAGGGACAATGGGCGCATTTCATTTATTTACACTTTTTTGCGCATTAATTAAACAATAACACGCTTTGCACTCGAAGCCTTTTTCCCTTGGACGCCAACTCGAGATGATTTTAGCCAAATTAGGTAAACATCTTACAGGTGAACGGGTGCTACTTGTGGTGACTGGTTGGACTTGAATTCGAGTATGCGGGGATGTTAGTTATTTCGACTATGTATTTGCGTGTGGTTCCCATGAGAATGTAAGTGCGTGCTCCTACTTCACCATGCCTCCTGCTGATAGAGGACAAATCTTTGTTTTTAATTTATTTTATTATGATTAATTAACTATTGATTACATAAAATGTCATGTGGGACATGGTGTAATGGTAGGGGAGCCCAAGAGGGGATTTCGGGATTTACAAACAGATTAATTAGGGGGATAGCTTACTGGTTAAGTACCTCCACAAAACATGAGGTCCATATATAAGCCGCTTGAAGGAGACAGGATCAATTGTAAAAAAATTGACCATCAGAAATTCCCGAGCGCATCAGATTAAGGTAGGGTGAGTTAATTACATCCTAAAAGTTATATTCCACTAATCTGACAATTTGAGAGTGACGGAAAAAAAGGGGAGGGCAACAAAGTTGTAAAAAAAACGTCATCTCGACATTCTCGAGCGTAGCTAATTTTTTTTATTTTGAAGGAAATAATTCAAGAATAATGAAAAATATATATCTGACGATTTCCGCAAGCCGAAATAACAAAAATTCGTCGATAGTTAAATGCGTAGCTGCGTGATGCTACATTTCCTTAAACCGATCGGAATCTACTAAACGGCGTTCTAAATATTTCCCTCAAAATTACATTTCCTGTGAATTTGAACCGATTCGACCGTAGATTTTGAGAAATTTTGAAAAATCTTAAAAAATAAGAAATTTTTTTTTAATTTTTTTATGATCAACTTCAAAACTAATCCACCTTTGAGCTTGAAAAACCACGTTGATCGCCACTAAGCTGGTCAAAAGCGGTTATTGTTCGAGAATATCGTGACGAAAGAAACCCGAAAAGTGTTTATTCGGGATTACTCCGAAATTTGTGGTTCGATCAATTAAAATTGCAAAATTACTTATGAGGATGATAAAACTGCGTCGAATGCCGCCAACCGCGTGAAAATTGCTTGATCCATTCAAAAGTTATTGCGGTTTGAAAATTCCAAAATAGTTTCTATGAAACTTTTCAGACTTTCGACCTGGGAGAGCTCAAATGCATAGAAATGTTATTTCTTTGAACTCAGCGAGCTCAAAATATCAATTTTAAGCGCCCAGGAATGGAATTAGCGGGAAGTTCAGGATGGCCCTTTAGGTGAACCGTTTTTCTAAATTTTTTTTCATCAGGCGAATCCTCTGATATCGTCAGCTTTGAGACAGTACGTTTAGAACATAAAGATGAACCACATATATCTTAATCTGACGCGCTTGAGTATTTCAAAATTGTGTTTTTTTTTTTGCAAATTATGAAATGGCTGTGGGTTTGCGTCCCATCGAAATCGTCAGATTAGTGAATGAGAGCTTTTTTGGTGCACTTAACACTCTTAGAAAATCTGACGCCTCGATAATTTTTTTTTTTCATTTTCAACCCTTAAATACAACCACCCGCATCATGCAAACGATCAGATTAACATACGTACATTATTAAAAATACGTAGGGCATAGATGCTATCAATATCTGACGCCTCGAGGATGTCCATGCAACAGTTTTTTTTACATATTTAACTATCTATAGCCGCTTCCCACCGATGAAAGGAATTTATCATATAACATTTTTTTCTTCTTATTATCTAAGCTTTGCATCCCAATAGGTCTCTACGACGCTCGGTAAATCCCCATTTAGCATGTGGGTCCCTACCATAATGGTTGCAGCTCCATTGTGTAAAACAAACATTGTGTAAAACAAAAAACTTGGGGATTAAAAAGAGTGGCGGAGTGTTTATTGCCAGTTCTTCTCTTACGTTCTACGCCCTTGATTTTAGAACTGCCGGTAAATGTAAAATTAGAAGCATTTACTATGTATCTCTTTTTTGACGTTCATAAGTGTACATTGATCTATATGAATGAATTATTTTGACTTTGTCTTTATAAGCAAAGTAAATGGTTACGCCTGCCACAGATTCACCTTCTTCCTTCCTTCTCCATATACGGCTCAAACACTTTTTCGTTATTATACGACAATTGTTTTAAAATACGCCCGTGTCACACTAGAAATCCAGTTGGTCGTCGTATCGGCGTCGCTTCAAATATGCCGGCGCGGGCGCCGCTAGTGCGGCATGCAAAGGGTTAATTAACAATAAACACTTAAAAATTTGGGCTCCGAGTATCTCATCCAAGTACAAAAGAATAAATCTTTTGCATCGCTGTTGTATTTCCTAAATATTTTCATAAAATTATGTTACCTTTCGTTCTACTTTTGGGTAGCTAATGTGAACACATTCTCACTCATTAAGCAATAAAGCAACGATTGCTATTTCAAAGATCGTGTGGGCGTTTCATCAGCCTAATTAGTGAAGAGAATCACAACTTGAAATTCCAATTAACGCAATACTCCACGATTCAATTAAGTTAATATCAAATTTCTCAGTTCAAACTCTGTCTTCAGTGCTCTTTACTACATAGTAAAATTTACATTTGTACATTTTTAAAGTAGCCATGAAATCAGTGGCATTAATCGATACATTATTGATATGAGTGGTCAGTTCTGTGTCTGAATTAATGTATCTTTGGGTAAGATAAACCAAACTTTTAGTCCGACTTCCGTGCGCCAATAATGTATTGAATTTTGACATTATTAGTCGTCTTTCTCAGGCCGTATATTTCACTGTATGAGGATAGATTAAATGTACACGAAAATAAGATACTATTTAACTCGATAGAGAACAATAATTGGTGCAGCCAGGATTCGAACACACGGCTAGAGTGTTAATAGCACGCACACTTTGCTAACATTCCACATGTACGTATGTAGAAATCACTATGAAAGTACTATTGATACCAATACTTCAGTAATCTAATAGTTTTGAATATACATCACAGTCTCCACGCAGTCATTCCTCCAGTTCTTAATTTCAGCAGAGTGGCCATTATTAATTAAATTTCGAGGCGCGAAAGCATTGTTCGTTCGCACTGATTGTTTCGAATGAGCTCTTAGATTGAAATGAACCGGGCTTTTTCTATTCAAAACAGACCTTGGGAATGAAATTCTGCGATTGTACGCGAGCGGAACGTAGTCGTGTAATTTACGGAATTTCACTTCAAAGCTGCATCGAATAATATGAACTAGTTTCGGTGAAAGTATAGTAGTTGCGCGTATTAGTAGTACATTCAGCTAAAAACATTTTCCTACGTTATTGCTAAATGTTAAGGATTTATATACTTTATTCACTTTTAAAACAGGCTTAAATTTATAGAGTTTTTTGAAAATTTACTAAATATACTACTTTTGAAAACAAATATATTATCAATGCCGTCCAGTAGTAGTATTCATCTAACTCTTTTTATCGTAGCGTAAATAAAATTTAACAGAAAGAGACAAAAAACCACATTCCCTTTACACAATTTTCACTCAACTTCTTTAAAATAAAATAAAATATTTAACTGAACATACATTTTACTCTAAAGTGCAGCTCATTGGAGACAGTCTCCCCTTCAGCATTGAGTGCAGAGCAGGCGTATCTTCCACTGCTGTACCTCGTCACCTTCTGCAGCACGAGACTCTGGTTACTATGAAACACACGTGCTGTTGCGTTGTGTGCAAGGGGTCGATCCTGAAAAGAAAAACACTTTTTAATATCTTGAATTATTTAACGAATATAAAAGCGAATATATATTTCTTATATTTAGGATAGAAGATATAGTGAATATTGATTTTATAGTCTCTTTTGGACAAATAGCACTCGGAACGTCGTTATATATATAATGTAATGGCAACATTATAAATAGTTCAATTGACAAATACATAATGAATGTTTCTAAAATATAATCTCCGGCAATAAATTGACCTATAATAATAGGAATATCGCTACAACAAAATATCATCACGGCAATTTGGTAGTGTCTTGCTTTCACAACTTAAATTAACTGTCAATATAATAAAAATCACAATAAATTGTAATAATTGATTATTAAACATCAAGAGTTTAAAACCAATTGTTTTCAAAACGCATAAGATACATTAGTTTCTTATAATACGTGTTCATAAGTAGTTAATCATTTTCTTTTAAATTTCATTTTCAAAATAGTTTGGGACCTGTGTGCCTTACTGGCAGCATTTTCTCTTTGTAGTGGTTATTTGTGTTGTAAGAAATATGTATAAGTTATAAAGTATTAAATAAATAATATATATTTAATATTAATTGTGAAGTATTTACAATATTCTTAACCTACAATAATCAAAATATATTATTACTAGTAGACTCGGCCAAGCGTTGCTCTGGCTAAGATTTTTGTTATATTACATAGTAGTAAACTATTCAAGGGAAACGGTAGGAGAACTTATGTGAAAGGTAGATGACAGCTTATGTGAAACGTTGATAATTTTAACACAGCGCCATCTGTTAGAATTGTATCAAATAATAAACAAATATTTTGCAATAAATTAAAATTGCGACTATAATTTGAGATTTAAACTATCCTATCTCTCAAGTTGGATCGAACTGCACATGGTGTGCAAATTTGATTGATATCGGTTCGGTAGTTTAGGAGTCCATTGAGGACAAACATTGTGACACGAGATTTATATATATTAAGATATTTTTTTAATTGTGTTCCAAATTTCTTTCCCTAATAAGTTAGTAAATCCTTTTCACGAAACAAAATGGCGGCAGTTAAGGGGAATATGATTATGCACACAAAGGATTCTGTTACCTGGGCTTCGACAATGAAATGAAGGGTGCTGAAAACTCCTGATTATTTTTAACAAAAGACTTCTAATTATTAGAAGATAAGAGATGCGATTTGGAGGGGTAGATTTACCCTTTTAGATGTATTGTGTTAATATAGCAACGTAGAAATATGCGTTATTATATAAATAGTATGTTTCCTATTTTTCCAGTAGTATAAGGAAGTATTATTTAAGATGTATTCAATGGGTGAAATTATCGTATAATAATAATAATCAATGGCGCTACAACCTTATTTAGGTCTGGGCCTCAGATTTCTGTATCTGTTTCATGATCATTTGGTAATCTACTAGGCAAGTAGGTGATCAGCTTTCTGTGCCTGACGCACGCCGTTGACTTTTTGGGTCTAAGGCAAGCCGGTTTCCTCACGATGTTTTCCTTCACCGTTCGAGCGAATGTTGAATGCGCACATAGAAAGAAAGTCCATCTCAGGGATGAGAGTCGCACGCTGAAGCTACTAGGCCAACACTGCTCTGTAATTAACGTATAACATGCGTAAAAATACGTAATAATATTAATATTTTTAAATAATTTAAATATATATTAAAATATAATAAATAATATTTTTAATTATGGTATCTGATTTTGTTACTTATATATACCCAATAATAAGGACACATAAAAAGTAAATAGCTGCCCTTACGAAATTCGTTTCGCCTTAATATGATTGTTTTACTTATCCTACCATTTAGCAGTCACATACCAGCATATGGAACATTATGCTTTGCTACTCTATAGAGACAAAAAATAAAAACCTTCATGCTAAATACATTAAATTTTTATTTTTTTAAATATTATATTAATAATGATATTGAATAAATAAAAAAAAATACTCGAATTTGGCTCACCGTATTCGAGTTTTGCGCTCGGCAGAATATTTTGCGATTATTTTTTTTCATTAAGATACTTTATATGGTTATATAGAAAATAACCTAAATAACCGAACTTCTGTCAGTGTCATCTGTTATGAAGACGATTAAATAATAAACACGTAAAATTCCTAAAGACTAATGTAACAAAGTTAAAAACACCTTTTAGCAATTGGTCAAAAGCACAAAGAGCCTTTATAAAACAGCCACATTGTAACTGAAAAAGACATTTGCGATTTGAAAGTAGCTGTGTGAATTGAAAATAGAAATTTCACCGTAACAATTGTCAGGGAATCGCTTTGTCAGTTTTTAAAAACAGTTACATTATGCCCCGTTTATTGAATCGTTCGGGAAAGTTTCAGACATTTTACAAGGCTGCCATCGTATAACTTGCGAATGTTTGGTTTTGAACATGTAAAGTTCAAGCGAGTTTTAGAAACATTATTATTATTATTGTAGCCTCTTTTCGGACATAACAGTATTTTTTCTTTATTTTTCGTAGATTGTTCTTTTGTTCCACTTTTGCGTGTCCGTTTGCCAGGTGGCAAAGGCCTCCTGGCCCAATCTTCACCATTCTGGCCTTTCTATGGCCACTGTACCTCGTATGTTGTGTCCCTGCTAGACTTGTATAATGTCGTCGTCCCATCTTTTTTGTGGTCTACCTCTCTCTCTCGGTTTTATCACGCGTCTGCGTGACGTCCGTCACCGAATGTTTAGAAACATAGTGAATACTTAAAATGTACTTTAAAAAAATGTTTATTATGGAATAAGATACAGGTATCACTTATTCCACGTCATTAAATTTGAGTTTGTAGGCATCCCTACTCATCGGCAAAGAAGACAGAGGGTGTAGGCCGAGAGAAAAAGCCGGCATAAAAACTCTCGGTACTCTTTTAAAATAGCAAATATACTATTATTCCTTGGTTTTTAGAGAACGGGCAGTGAATTGATCTGCTGCTAACATTATCAAGAAAAGGCTTGCGTATTCATATCTAAACCTTATTATAAGCGTTCGGCAAAAGAGGTTGAGTCATTGACGTGAAGCACTGGAAATTTTAAAAATTTAGTAACTGAAAATTTTACAATACGTAAAATATAATGGGTGATGATAATAAGGTAAATGGTAAATTTAATTTATGTTTATTCTACGAGCTTAGATGGCATGTAATTTGGCACACAGTAGCAGACGACCTTGATAAGTTTCCAGACAGAAAACTTTTAGGCACCTGGTTTAATTTAAGCAATGTCAATAGGTATTATGTGTATACAATTTATATCTACGGTAAAAAGTAAAATTCTTATCAAATTATTATAATTAATAACAAAAAACTTATTAAGGAAAATAAGGGTAAGATTAATAACAATATTTACAGAATTATAAATGTTTTTTAATAGTCTAATATTGAACTAGAATCGTATCGCCAAAAACCTAGAAGGTTAATCACGTGGCACGCTCTATAATTTACTGTCTATGGTTCTATTTATTTCAATCCGTATCTAACGTACGTTGATAAATAACATCCCAACAAAAGATACATTTAAATAACACCTCTTTTACGGATATGATTTTGAATGAAGTAATATATATAGCATCAACACTTGCATAACATACGGAAGCGAAACATTTTCTCTAACCACAGAGTAAAACTAGCAAATTGCCAAAAGGCCATGGAAAGAAGCATGACGGGAATCAGGCTAAGTGATAAAATCAGAAGTATAAAGATAAGGCAGAAACCCAAAGTCAAGGATATACTAACGCATATAGATCACTTAATATGGAGCTGGACAGGACATATGCTAATATGCAAAGCAAACAAGTGACTCTATGGTACCCAAGAGACGGTACTAGTCGCCTGAAATTACGCTGGAAAGACGACATCAGCCTGACTTTGGGACCATACTGGACCAGAGTCGCAGAGGAAACAACACAATGGAGAGAGCTGGAGGAGGCCTATGCCAAAAAGCACGCCGAATTGCGAGACATAATATAAAATGACACGAAATACCCGTACTTAATCAAGTATATTAAGTATCACTTTTCGGGAAATAAAAGGCTTTATTATATATATATATACGTTTCGATTGCTCTTGAGCAATAGTAAATAAACCAAAGACAATACTTAAATCAAAATAATAAAATTACTTAGCAATCAATTCGTTAAAGGTTTTACTTGAAGCGTCGTCGTTTAATTTCAAAAGAGCATTACTTCATCAAGCGACCTCTATCGGTGAATCAATTCACCGTGAAAGGAGTGTAAATTGGATCGTGAGTGTCCATTATGACGTACCGGAGATCATTGAAACCACGGGGTTTCCGGTGCAAAAGCGTTCAGGAATTACCTGCTGGGATTTTGTTATTAATCGGAGCACGGATTTAAAATTATATACAATTTAAAGGTGTGAAATTGTTTCTACGTAGTAATTGTTACATTTGATTGCTTGGAGTTTTCAATTCTATTCGAATAAAATAGTTTCCTTAGCTTGCCTTAGTGGTTCATGGATGCGAATCGTTTCAGGTAGATGCATTCAGATATTATCGTTTACATAAATGTGTCTACCACGAATGGGTTACATTTATAATAGAAAGCCCATAACTGGTGAAAGAATAATGAACGATAAAAACCTAATTTTAATTGGAACATTGCAAAAAAGTCAAAGTCAAATCATTTATTTCAATTAGATCACCTAAAATGACACTATTGAACGTCAAATAAAATATACAGAAGATTCTAGTTGCCCCTTCTAAAGGGTAGTTTCGTGTGGAGAAGAATGGGCAAGAAACTCCAGACTTACTCTTTTAAAATAGGTTTACAATATTTTGTTTACATTAGTTAAATAATTATGTGTTATAAAATTTTATATATTTCAAATATTTAAATTAATATTGCATGAACGGATAACAAATTCAGAACCAATTTGAACCGTGGCTATTTAAAAATACTTGAGATTCTTAAACTATACTCGTAAATTTTTGGGATTCAATCCATAGATTGGGAATGTTTTAAAATCAAATTAAAAATATATATTTTTTTCGTATTTGTACAAAAATATTTAATACAAGAGCAACTTTTTTTCATTTGTCACTCAAACACGGTAAATACATTATTGTCATATAACATAATTGGGTTATATAATCTCGTCAGAATTCTACAGACGTCGAGAAAGTGACATGAAACCTTATAAATAATGTTACTTGAGTAATATTACATCTAATTTTATTATTCCCTTCTGACCAAAGGGCCGAGTATTGTAAGTGACTGACGTGTTCTTGAATATATATTTATTTGTTGGTCCAGCTTACGGGAGTTATTTATATACATAAGTAAACTAAACTGTTTTTTGTTCCTGTTTACTTTTTTTTTTAATATATGTAATATGTATTTTTGCACTTCTTGCCTACCTTATCTAATTTAATACATGTTACTTTTCTCACAGTGGTTGCCTGGAAGAGATCGCTCGAAAGCGATAAGGCCGCCAGTTGCCCTCCTTTTCATTTAATTATCATTATTATTTTTTATAGAACAGGGGGCAAACGGGCAGGAGGCTCACCTGATGTTAAGTGATACCGCCGCCCATGGACACTCTCAATGCCAGAGGGCTCGTGAGTGCGTTGCCGGCCTTTTAAAAATTGGTATGCTCTTTTCTTGATGGACTCTAAGTCGAATTGGTAATTGGTATGTTTAATTTTTATATTGTAATGCAACGAAGTGTTAATAAATAAAATATTCCTTACAATAGCGTAAATGTATATAAAGATACCGTGGTCTACACATTAAGTAACACAGGTGTATTATAAAAAATAAAGTATGTCTAACTTAAAAAAGAAACGGGATCAAAAATAATATTATCATATCGCACCCTTATAACTACTCTCAGCCACACCCAATCGTATACTAATACTTAAGGTCTTATACGAATTTTGTTTGATTATATGTAACACTAAAAGTACTTTTTCTCGCACCATGTACCATATGATAATTGTATTCTAGTTGCCTTTTTGTCAACACTAGCCTTACATACATTTTGTCCCAACCATAACTCTGTCATGAATAAAGTTTTGTTATTTAATTTACTTTAATGTTTAAATTATAATTTCATGATACTTCAGTCAAGGACGCAAAAAATATTTTACGTTAAATCAGATTTTTAAGTCCTGTTAGACCGTATCATACAAAACGCTAGTAAAGTTAATATTTTGTCACAGATATAGGCAGACAAGATATAACTAGACGGTATCTAGAGTGGAGTCATAAAGTTCCCAGTGTAATTAGGGTCGGCTCTGGCCTGAATACCAAAGTATTCATATGAAAACTTTGTCATTTTTGTGTATGGAAAACGTAATAAACGTTTGTTCATAAACAAAAATCATAAATTAGCACTATTCTCGTTACTACAAACAAATTTTATAATATTATTTTTAGGAACTAGCTTATAAAACTCAAAATTCGTCGTTTCACTTTCATTTAAATTACAACACAATGCGACAAAAGTACACATAATCAGGAACAGGGGTAAGACAGAATTTATAATACATTGATGATTTTTTAAAGAGGTGATCAATATCTTGTGACGAGTTTTTTTGTTACGAACTCTAAGATATCCGATCTATAATGAGGGTTAAAAGGAGTGTAAAAAAAACAGTTATTCCTAAACCATTCTTACGCCTTATTTCTGAAATGGTTTCATTCAATCGTAGCTCCTTTGGCAAAGAAAATATACTCTTACTAGATGACCCGGCAATCGTTGTTTTGCCAAGTATATTATTTCTAGGAAGCATTTTTTTAATTCAATAAAAATAACTAAAAAATAGGGGTTGATCGTAGAGGGGTAAAAATTTAGGCTTGTATGTATTTCTTAATGCCACGTAATAAAAAAAATATTTTTGGTATGGACACCCCTTATCACTTAGGGGTTTGAAAGATAAATAGTACTCTCAATCTTATTGAATATGCATAAAAAATTTCATAAGAATCGGTCAAGCCGTTTAGGAGGAGTATCGGAACGAACAGAGTGACATGAGAATTTTATATATTAGATTAGACCAACACAACACCAGCCTATATAACAGAATCTAAAAGACGTTTTAAATTCTTTTCATCAGCATTTAAATATATAAGATTTTTTCAAAAACACGGAATGATTTGTATTGCTCTCTTCAAAGTGTTCGCTAAAATTAATGTCTCGCCTTATTATTTTGACGTCTCGTGCATAGTTAATACTGTGGGCTGATGTTTTGGTCGTCTTTAAAGCTTAATTGATAGCAGTAATTTGAGACTGAGATTGAAGAGCGAACGACAAAAGGAGCTTTTGGGGAGACTCGGATGTCAGAACCACAAAATACAAAGATATTGTGTGTAGAATTTCATTTTACAGTAGGGGTAAATATACATTTAATGACGATAATATAATGATTTTTTATGTTTGCAGAGTGCTAAGCTTTATTAGATAAACTGCCCACGCACTCACAAGAGGTCAGAAGGCGAGTACCTACGTAGTCAGCCTTTTCAGAATTAGTAGGTACTCACTTTGTTAATATTAATATTATAATTATAAATTTGAATAAATTAAATTCAAAAGTCAAACGTTAAAAATCATTTATTCATATAGGTGTACACTTATGAACGTCAAAAAAGAAATATACATTAAATGCTTCTAATTTTACATTTACTTTATTCAAATCAAGGCGGTAGAACGGAAGAGAAGAAATGGCAATAAACTCTCCGCCACTAAATATAATAAAACACTAAATTAAATTGATAAATAAATTCATAAACAAAGTTGTACGTAATAATAATTAAATAAATATAACACTAAAATAAATTTAATGCTGGCAGCACTTCCTATTACGATACTTATTCGTTGAGCGCGGAAAACACCAGTCATAATGTTACTGTTTTGAAAGAAACGTCTTCATATTTACGGGTAGACTGAATTTGAGGAGTCCAATATATTAGCCATATAGGCTGTGAAATCACTTTGATCACCTTTTAAATAGGCAACGCCGGAGGCTTTATTATACAAATAAGCTTTTTTCTTTAGCTTTACAATTCATATATGTTTAAGTTTTTAAACTGTTATTTATATCAACTAGTGTTTATAGAAAGATACAGTGGAGTGATTTTTTGTTAGATTTAATTATATTTATACTAGCAGAGCCGGCCAAGCGTTGCTGTGGCTAAGGTTTTTGTTATATGACATAGTAGTAAACGATTAAAGGGAAATGGTGCCACCATGCTTTTTTGGGTGGTTATGTCATTAACTTGTAGCATATGTGAAACGTTGGTACTTTCAACACAGCGCCATCTATTAGAATTGTGACTGTTAAATGATAAACTAATAATATGCAATAAAATAATATTGCTGGTATAAATTAAGATGTAAGCTATCCTATCTTTTAAGTTGGATCAAACTACACATGGTGTGCAAATTTGATTGATATCGGTTCGGTAGTTTAGGAGTCCATAGCGGACAAACAACGTGACACGTAATTTATATATATTAAGATTAAATAATCAATTGCTTGGATGAAAATAAGATGACATACAAATCCTGTATAATAATAGATAAATTTGATATATTATGCTGACTTTATTCACCAAATAAAAAATTCTCTTGATAATAAAATGTTTTCGCATTTGTATACAAAACGAACCGTTAACATTCGAGTCCGTGATTCAAATTAAAATATTATTTATTTCCCAAACAGCGTAGAAAATTTAAGACAAAAGCCTTGGATCCGTGAAATACGTGAGTGCCTCAAAGGTACCCTGTACTTACATAAGCCGACGGTGTCAGGAATTTTAATAAAATGCCCGGGCGAGGCGAAACCTCCTCTTTGCATTTAATATTTCCTTGATTGACGACTTGATATACAGAATGTCTTTGTATTTTTCGAATTATTCTGACACCGGAAGCAGTGAAGACTGCCATGACTCGTTTTAACTTATTACTTTATATTGGATGTGTCACAAGACACCTGAGGTCGTAGGTTTAATCCCGGGAGCGTCATCTACTATTTTTGTCAAATAAAGTTTACCGAAAAACTGATGAAGTCTGAGTCTAAGAGCTGGCCCAGGGTTGTAGCGCTATTGAGTCATGATCACAACTTGTAGTTTAGTGGTTTGTTTTAGAGAAAGCGTATTTTATAGTTGATAATATATTGGAACTCATTAAACATTATATTGTGGTCAATACTGTGGTACAATGTGGTTTGTCCTACGATGTGCAAAATTCAGGATGCCGGATTTCCTATTTGAAAAGCTAGGTTCAAAATTCAGG